GTGAGGATATTCTAGACGGCGTTGTACCGCCACTCTCCGATTAGCTGCTGCGTGGGTTGTGCCTGGGTGTGTGAAGAATGAGTGTCTCTCTCAGTCTCCTGGATAGTCGCCGTACGTGGCGAATTGTTGATGGGGCATGGACGAAGCAGAGCGGCGGACGCATTGAAGACGCTTGCGCTCGACTTCCTTGGCTCGCATCTCGTTGTTGTTACCAGCGCGCCGTCTGCACTCTCGAACACGATCGAAGGCATGGACGCATGCACGGACGAACGCTTCACGCCACTCATCATCATTCATTCGGTAGATATACTGTGCTTTTTTAAACATTTTTGCAAAGCAAAAAAGTTCCTACTTTATTCACTGCTTTAAATAATACTGCTAATACTACAAGAAACTGTATATTTATAGCATGGTTGCCATATTTGCATAACCTAATGCTTCCAGCCATCTCAAATGCTACAACAAAAGGCTTTTTACCATCTAAAAGTGTTCGATGACCATATATACGATATTGGCTTTTGGGCGTAAAGTGCAAAATTTGGAATGCACCGTTGTTTGTTCAACTGCCCAATTAAACAAGGGTGTACCTACACAATGGTAAATATAAATGACGCAGCATAAGCAAATTAACCCTTCAGCAGTCTGAAACTTTTACACACTTTTCAGCTGTTCCAGTTTGAAAATATTTCACCACTCTTGATGAACATGGAGAAAGAAAACCAGCTGTACACAAAACCTTATTGGACGTTTATGCTTGCAGCTGATTTTGTGCCTACTTCTTTAAGTAATATTTGTGATCTTTCAGTGATGAGCCCTGCCTGACAGCGATCCACTGCAGGCGTATGGCATTGTCGAAACAGGCATGAAAGCAGACTGCGAAGCGTTAATAAAACCCTCCCTCCTGTTTTTGGCAAGCTGGTATAAATTATACTCTACTAAATCATTCATCGTCATCATAATTATTTATTTACCCTAAAATACTCTTTTTGTGATATTATATAGGGGAGGGGGAACAAAAGCAAGAATAACAGCATGTCATTATAGTGCAGGTAATTATAACAAGTCATTATATTACAAAGGTAAGTAAACAAACAGACAAAAAAAAGGCTCTTATTTGCCAAAATATCAATGGAAATATTGGAAAACCTCAATAATTTCCAGATTGTGCACTTTCAAAAATAATTATGATGTACAATTTAAGATGCCAATACTTTTATAATAAGAAAAAAGAAAAGAAAAATTGAGCAAATAAATTTTTCACTATGTATGTTTGATTAAAGGAGTTCTTGGTGTACTACTGATACCTGCTGATTTGGAGCAATTTTTGGAGCAGACTAATTTGCATTATGGAGTACTTTGAAGCAGCAAAATTTGCATTTTAAAACACTTTGGAACAGCAAAATTTTCTATTTTAGAGCACTTTGAAGCAGCAAAATTTTCCATTTTGGAGCTGTCTTGAACAGCTAACTTTACATCCTGAAGGCGAAGCAAAAAATATATTTTGATTTATTGCAAACCTCATGATGCCAGAGATTTTAGGAGCACTTCTTATTTCAGTTGATGATGCAAAAGTAATGTCGTCATGCTGTTGAGCATTTTATGAAAACTTGTTGAGTGATTATTTTTGTACCAAAGAAACAGAATACTGTTTGAATAAAACAGTACTTCATGAAATAACATTCTGAATGCACCCATGTGATTATCAGTAGATTTGGTAGACAAACGCTACAGGCTCACACAGTCCCAACTGCATTTCTAAGATGAATTCAAGAATAAAAAAAAAGTTTTTTTTTCTTCACAACCGATTATATTGCTTGGTTTAACATGATGTTATTTAGCTAGTCTCATAAAGCTAACCTCCTCTGGCACTCTCTATGCTGAAACTAAACGATTTACCTAACTGTTTTCATTTTTCAGCGGTGTTTTATGTGACTAGGGCATTCAGTCTATCCACCGAATACTCCTTATAGTGTCCTCTAGAAAGCAGAACAAAAAGAAAAAAAATCAAATGCATTTGCCTAAGACAACTTGAATGCAGGAGACATTTTGGTTTTATTGCGATAGCACTCATATTGACATTGCCGACCTGATTTTGCCATCGCCAGGGGTGTAGGAAGAAACATTTTTCATTTTTCAAGGAGGCACATTGAGGAGAGGGGGGGGGGGGGGCAGGCAGGCAAATGGTCATTCTGCGCAATATTTTGCGCCATGGTGAAAAAAATTTCGAAGAAGCGGGAAGCATTCCAGATGCCCACCCCCCCCCCCCCGGCTATGTCACAGGCCGTCACCGTCATGTTTTGAGTACTGTCCAAATTTCTAAATCAATAACATCCTTCCAAGCATCGTGCTTTGCATGCAGGTAAAAGCGCGCGAGCAGGGACGACAAATGCAGCTAAAGCAAAGATAAAAGAGCTGAAGTATCTCTTTTGCACAGAGGACAGATGCAATAACATCACCCAGCGTGTCAGGCCTGCCATCGATTGTTACTCTAGCAGAGAGGAACGTGCCACCCGTTTTCAAGGAGCAGGAAGGAACTAGGACCGCAAGGGGTGGGGGCGGGCTAGTTTTATAACCTTTGACTGGTACGCTCGCTATTTGGGCAGGTATTAAAGACAGCTGGTATACCCTTCTACCTTGTACTCTCAATGTGAAGTGACCGGGTGAAAGTGCTTCGCTTTCTGGAGCTATTTAGGGTGTGTGCACTGAGTCTTGATCGCATGGCGGCCACACTGTATTCGCGCCATTTTGGAGGTCCATTCATATGCGCTGTTCGGCGTTCATAAAATCACACTTATCTAGAGCAGCAGAACGCGTGCCTGTCGACAGTGTTGTTGGCCGCGAATTCTATCTCACGTTGCCTACAAGCTTTCGTTGATGCTTACATTATAACACAAGGATTTAACATGCAATATGACTATGTTTGGTATCATTAAGGCATTTATCTTTAGATGTTTCTGAAAAAAAAAAAAAAGTATGGCAGCTGGAGCTGCCAGCTGGGCGCTCTAGACAAGTCTGATTCTATCTGTACATGCGTTGGTGTGCAAGAAGTGTTCCGGGGGTCTCAAGTCATCTAAGTCGCTGTATGAATATCAAACACCATGCGTGCAGAAAGTTTTTAGCATGTGCGGTTAGTGCGCGGACCTTTAAAATGGCAGCCCCGCCGCTAGCGCACCTCGCGAATGACGTCACGCCTTATTATTTGGTATAAAAATACAATTTCTTGGTATCGCATTCATTGCTAGGAGCTTATGTGATAGTAAGAAGTTGTATCTTTTGGACCCAATATCGTGTCAGTCAAAAGAATGCTGGCTAAAGGGACAATGATCACTACAGTTTCGTGCTGTCAGTTATCATCTAAGTGGTTTCGAAGTGGTTTCGTGCTGTCAGTTATCAGAAACGCGAAGCAGAGGTTAGTAGCACAGAAAGTTTACGAGAAGTCTCATTATGCCTCGAGATAACGCGCGCGTCAGTTGCTGCGCCCTTCGAGCAATGCAGCCTTTCTCACCCTCAACCTTAAAAAAAATTAAGAAATGAATGTTATTCTGTGACGTTCAAATTTTTTTTTTAACCGCACGCTACTGACCCTAGAAAGCGAGGGGTGTACGTGTAACAAGACGTAGTCGCTTCAAAGTTGGCGTCCGACACCGGAGCTGCCAGAAATGGCCCCACTACTGAAAGCTGCGTGTATTAAAACCGAATCGCAACTGCTCCGACCGGGACGCATGCTTTCGATAATGAGATAACATAAAAAAAAAGCACGGGGAAATTTTGTATTCGGACCTCAGCAATATTGAGTCCGAAAGGACAGGGTCTTTTGGGGGTTTTTACCACAACATTGATTACAAACGCAGATGAGCTGCAAGAAGGCGTTGCGACTTTTCTGAATGAATATCCAGGAATAAAGTATATCAAAAAGTGCCAATGCATTCCCTCTTCAAACGAGCTATCAGCAGTGTTCCTGGAATGGACAACGTCTGCTGATGAAACACCGCCACAGTTTCACCATACCAATTGGACTAGACGTCACGAGCCCCTGTGGAGAGCGCATTTCGCCGTTAAGCGGATTTGCACAACAAAAGTTGTGTCGGCACCAAACATAGCATTGTGAATTATTTAGGATGCCCGTGCGACCGATGTTTAGTCAATGGAGAAACTCTAGGTATGTGATCCTGACTTTGGTGGACCCGAGAAAAAGGTGCACATGTTTTGACGTGCCGGCGTGGATATCGCCGGTGATAGACGCTTCCAAATCTGTCTTTGGCACAGTTTGGCGCAATTTCCGTTTACATTATCAGGATGGTGCAGTAAATTTTATTTGGCGCACTTTGACGCAGTTGATACAGGAATGGGATCACCAAGTTCTGCAACACTTTTCCAAGTTATCATAGGGTGACCTTACTAGTAGACTCCGTTGGCTCACAAATTCAGAGCTGAAGATTGTTTTTCAATCCACCGAGTTGATAGAAGTTATAGCACGAAGTGTGTGCTTTCTCTCTTCTTTTACACTGCATGCTACACATAGAGCCAGAGCTTTCAAGGGGGCAATGCACAGCCCAAAAGTTATGCTGCCGCGGGTGATAACCTTGAGTATTTTCTCTAACTTTTTCTTCGACCATGTTGCGCCTTATTACTGGTTCAAAGATGTGCGATGCCAGCATGCGGCGTCCCCCTGTAGGCAGCCATAGTATCGACATGATTTGGCATGTGTCTTTAAACATTATCTACAAGAAAACAGTCCATGAAATCATCCAATACATGAAGTACTTGTTCGCTCTTACATGCTGCGTAGTTTGTCGAAAAGAGAGCAAGTAATTTTTGGCTGTTTTTGTGATGAAATTGTAAATTTACTGCTGAATGCAGTAGAATACATAATATTCAGCTCACATGTTCATAGTAGCCTTGAATACAGATTGGTACCATTTCCTAACTAACTTTATAGTGTGTTGCAGGAGCTCATTAAGGTCTAAGTTAGGCAGTAAATTCAAGGATCTCACACTCACAATGAAAACTTGTGGTCAAATTCTGGGTTTCTACTTGACTTCACAACAGATGTTCTCCAGTGAGCTCTTTTGATGTGATCTGGTTGGAGGGAGACCTGTAAGTTAAAAAAAAAAAAGGTTTCGTAGATTAAACAGTTACATGCAGAATAAACTACTTCCAATAATAGCATAAAACCTTTTTGACATAACATGACAGGCTACAATATCTAGCTGCATCACATATTAAGCAATAACACTCAGCTCATTTTACCTACTAGATTTGCACATAAAAATAAACTCAAGTTATAGTAGTATTGGTGAAAGTTATATTACTGTAGGAGGGGCTCCTTTAAAGGCAGAGTCCAATCAGTAAAATTATCAGTGCCAACTGTGTGTTAAGCTGGGCTAACATATAAAGAGGCCACAAAATTGTAAAATCCCCATTACCAGCCCATGCCAATGTTACAATCGCTTAGAGGAGTCGTCACACTTAGATATCTACAACATTTTTGTACAAATGACACATAACTAGGAGTGCAGTTTAACTATCTTAACTAAATGAAACAGGGTTCTACAATATTTATTGGTGGTGCTAAGGTGTATTGATGTCAGAAACAGGTCTGATCTACTACCTTAATATAAGCATTTGCAGATCCTCCCCGGGAAGTCGCCAACTTGGCTGCCCTGATGACTGAGGTAGAAAAACAGACATTTCACATGGTAAGATTGTAAAACATCCAACTTTAATATCTTTTTATGCTCGTTTACAAACTCTTACCGTGTACAGTGACATGTCCACTGTTCACATAGGCAGCAAGCTTTAGTTTTGCTGAAAAGTGAAACAGAAAGAAATAACATATTTTGGTGGATAGCATCGTTTTTCAAGTATGATTAGTAGAGTTCTACTGTAGAGAGGTCTCATATTTTATATCAAGTAAATAATGTACCTTGTGCAAAGACATTTGGTGTTCTCTTACAGAGGCACCACTTCGATGTTTTTGAACAACTTGGATGATATAAAGCGAAGTCCACAAAGCAATGCGTTAGAAAAAAAATATATATAATTTTGGCAATAATAGAGATGGGATAAATTAAATACATTGCAAGTATATGGTGTGAAAAATGTGAGCTGCCTCTCCCGTTGCCTTGACCTTTTCTGTCTTCTCCATAACAAAACTATGCCTTATCTGGGAGAGTGAGCGCCACTGTGGTTTTCATTCTACTATGAGTGGGAGGATGCACTCGTTATGTAATTTCTTTTGTTTCTCCAAATAATTTGCAAGCCTCCAAAGCAGTATTGCCATACAGCAAATCATCAAAAATTTCCAGCAGATGCCACACATTGTGGGAATCTATTCCATGCGGAGCAGTCCACGAATAGCTGCTTATGACATTCTGGGCCGAGTCCTATAAGGTGTATGAAAGTGTTTGTGCAATTTGAGTAGTTGCATGCTTATTGCAGACTTACTAAGCATGCTGAATACAGTGATGTGTAAAAGGTAGCTTATAGTTTGTCTTCATGAGACGCGCAATTTAAAGCAAAGATGGTATAGCAAACCCAAATTTTAGTTCAGGCCTTACAAATGTTTGATCGTTTGTTCGGTGAGAGCTCCAGCACTGCAAAGGTTACGCTTAAGATAATTAAGTGTATGTGAAGGTTTCAGTTACTTTGTCTATGTGCACAGAGCATGACAGGTGAGGAGTGATCAAAAAGCTGAGGTACTTGTATACATTGGTGCATAGAATAGAGTTCTTCTTCATTGTGAAAATTAAATATGAGAGTGTCTTTCTGCGAGCGAATTATATCAGTTTGCATTTATCACAACTTAGGGTCATAGGCCAAGATAAACAACAGTCAGTAATACAGTAAAGAACAACATGATCAGAAACTGAGCAGATTTCTCAGTAGATCAAGCAGTCGTTTGTACAGAAGTGCGAGGATGATGTTTGGGATGGCAGGTCATTAATAAAAATCTGAAAAAGTAATGGTCCAAAAAATGTTTCTTGTGGTGCATACGTTACATGACTAATACTGCCAATGTAGTTATTAACCCAATGGTAAATTGCTTTTGAAATGCCAAAAAAAAGTTTCATCCAAGACACTGTCAGGAAATGGATGTCCATGCATGGAAGCTCACATTAGATGGCAGAAGTAGTGCACTAGAAAACCTTATAGAAATCAACAAAAATTAAATCTGCCTGTGGGCCCATATCTATGTATATAATTCATATATCTGAATCAAATTCAGTTAGCTAGGTTTCACTTGATGATTCTTTTCTAAAACCATGCTGGTGTTTAAAAAAACTGTTAATTTCAAAGTGGTGAGCCACAATAAAAAAAAAATATTGCCATACCCACAAAATAAATGCTATTATAAAAGCTTGCTTGGAAGATGATTCGGTAACCCAGGAATCCTCCGTACAATTCATCTATCGTCATACATGTGACCACATTGTTATATATATATATATATATATATATATATATATATATATACGGTAAAAAAAGAGGTCCACAAATGTGCGAAAACACATGTTTTACCAACGAAGACAGGCCCACCTGCCGAAACGCTAGTAAACTTGTGTTTTCGCACACGTTTTTTTACCTCTTTTTCTACCGCATTTTTCACTGGATCCATTGAATTTCGCCCCACCACATATATATGACAGCGTTCGTAGAGGCGTAGCCACTGGTCGATGTCGGAACCCTCGCTGCCCGAGAACACGGCGGTGTCTTTGAGCGCGGGAATTGTCACGAAAGTTGTTGCGGGCGCTGAGTTGACAGGCCGGGCAAAAAGGCGGGCAGAAAGGCGGGCGACCGGAGAGGATGTAGCCGAGTCTTGAGTGGTCATGTTGTAAGCCGCGAGGGAGCATCCGCTTCGGAGTTCCGTGGCGAGGATGGCGATCGCACAACTTCACCAAATATGTTACAAGGAGGAGACCGACTCGGAGGGGTAGTCACCGATGCCAGCCACACCGATTAGCTCGCGCCAATCTATCTGCTTTGTCTCCTTTAACTCCATGCACTGGCACGTAGTAATATATATATATATATATATATATATATATATATATATATATATATATATATATATATATAGATATATATATATATACACACACATTCCGTACAGAATGTTTATATACACAATGGTCTTGGGGGCGAGCCCACGCTGCTACTTTTTTGCAAGCTCTCACCGCCACTGCCTTGGCTTTTTGGGTGTTCATGTTGAGTAGCGATAGCAAAGTGCACTGTCATGACAGAGGCATGATAGAGGCAGTCGTCGCCGTGCGGGGGCCATGCAGAGCAAACCGAAGTGTGAGCGCGGAAGACGCGTGCCACGGTGCACGTGTCAGTGGTCGAGACAGCGCAGTGGTCAAGGACAGACCGTTCTCGGCTGGATGTCCGGTCCGGGGAACTAAGGGAAATCCCACAGGCGCTACCGTTCCTGTACTCCAGCTGAGGACTGGCCCGGGGACCAAGCGAGGCGCAGGGCTCCGGATGGCACTCCTGCCTGCTGCAGGGCAACCGGGACGAGCGAGGCCTGCATTCCGGCTGGGCAGCTGCCCTGTGATCTGGCGAGGTGCCTTTGTCTTCGCTGTCATTTACGGCGATCGAGCTTATTTTGTGGGTGGTGAACCACTGCTGCTGAGGTGGTTCAGAGTCGCTGAGACGACCCGGGCGTGGCCGAGACGAACGTGGAGGCCGAGCTATCGAGCTGCTGCAACAGAGATATATGTCTTGGCGAGGGCTGGCAGGCGTTAGCAACGTCAACTAGCCAGACGGGACATTGTCATAGAGTGGCGGGCATCGACGTTCTTCAACGGCGTCAAACACGGCGAGAACCTTCTGAATTCAAAAGACAATTAGTGCAGTTAGGACTGCATATATTAGAGTACCTTCCACATTGACCATTATTAGATCATATTGCTATGTAATCTACGTTTATGTGTTTACGCACTCGTGGCTCGACTCAGTTCCTTGGTACTCGAGTGGTCCTGGGCCCAAACCCTGATGTTACATTACAATCCGGCGAGCCTGCCAAGATACCGCTCGTAAAGACATCAAAACAAATTATCGTCCCTCGAGTGCACCCCCACAATGGTCAATCCAACCGCTGTTGGGTTAAAGCTCGGGTTTTTCGGGCGCCGAACTGTGTAAGTGGGTTGAAGAAGAACAGGAGAGGCAGAGGGATGAACGTCCTGTTGAGCGAGAAGCGAGAAAGAAAGCAGATGAGAGAGCGATGCAAATCCTTGAGCTGAAGCTAAAGCTTCAAGAAGAAGCCCTGAAGGTAGATTCAACAGGAAACTAATTCTGCAGCTTTGCCGGATAGCTCCTCTTCAGTACTTAATCCACAAAAAATGCTTCCATTGTTCGATGAGCGATGAGATGATTTGCATGCTTACTTGCAGAGATTTGAACGCGTGGCAACAGTACAAAACTTGCCACAGGAGAAATGGGCATTAGCTGTGAGCATGTGTTTGAGTGGTGAAGCGTTGACAGTAATTGGCCGAATGACTGCCACAGATTTTCTAGATTATGAGAAAGTCAAGAGAGCCTTGTTTCAGAGGTTTCGATTCGCTGTGCAAGGGTACCAAAAGAAATTTCCCAAGGCACGAGCAGAAGATAGGGAAACCGGCATGCAGTTAGCTGCGAGACTCTCCGGGTACTTCAACCATTGGATCGACATGGCCGATGTGCCTAGGACGTTCGATGACCTTCGAGACCACATGCTTGCCGAACAGTTTCTCCGCTGCTGTCATCTAAAGCTCACGATATTCTTAAAAGAACACGAGTGCAAGTCACTCCAACAGCTAGCCGACGCTACTGATTGCTTCATGGAAGCACAAAACTTATCAAACCTCGGAAAAGGTCGCGACGACTCAAGAGATTTCAAGAATATTGATAATGCTTCAAAGAAACCGCTTCCAAAGTGTATGTTTTGCAAGTGTCTGGGGCATCAAGCACATGAATGTCGCACTTTAGCTAGAGAGGCGATTAAGTGTAAGGTTTCTGGGAAAATAGGCCACAAAAGCAACGAGTGCTGGAGCATGAAAGCACAAAAAGAAAAAAAAGATATGCGTGTGTAGTGAACGAAAACCATCCTAGTTTTCCTTCAAGTGGACAGACTGGAGGAGGGAAAAAAGGAAAGAAACGTAACCGTCGTAATGTCGTAATGAAAGTTGGGAGGAAATGAAACCCCTATTTCACGTGCAGGGAATGCCAGTAGTTGAAGGCGAAGTTCTGGGCAAGCTAGTCAAAGTGCTTCGAGATACAGGCAGTAACACTGCAATTATCCGGAGAGATCTCATGCCGAATGAACAGCTGACCGGGAAAAGTAGCAAAGTTTTGCTCATTGATGGTTCCGCTATCGAAGTACCAGAGGCCAAACTTCCTCTGAGCACTCCATACTTCACAGGAGAGATAACAGCACTCTGTATGAACAAGCCTCTATACGATTTGCTGCTTGGTAACTTGCCAGGTGTCAGAGACCCTCACAATTCGGATCATCAGTGGAAACCTGGTGCTGCTGACCAGAGACCTAAGGCGACACAATATTGCCCTGTGGAAGTTATAGAACATCCCCGATACGTTTCTGCTACGGCGAAACCACACGAAGACAAAATGAATCCATTGACTGTTCCGAAGATCAAATGGCATTACCTGAACTTTTTCAAAGAACAGCAGAAGGACAAAACATTGAAGGCTGCGTTCGCTAAAGTTGGTAAAGACCTCAAGTCACTAAAAGGCCACAGTTATAGGTTTGTAGAGAGAGGTGGACTGCTCTTCCGACAATACTGTCTTGCGACTAGCAGAACCTTTAACCA